AATCCCAAAAAAAAATCAGAAGCAGGAAAATATACCAAAATATGTATGGACATTTTTCTGCCTAGTCTTACGTCAGCTTGACACACAAACTAGAGTTACCTGAAAGGAGGGCACCTCAGCTGAGAAAATGTCTCCATAAGATCTGGCTGTAGGGTGTTTTCTCAATTAGTGATCAATAGGGGAGGGTCCAGCCCATTGTGGGTGAGGCCATTCCTGGGCTGGTGGTCCTGGGTTCCATAAGAAAGCAGGCTGAGGAAGCCAAAGGAAGCAAGCTAGCAAGCTGCACCCCTCCGAGGCCTCTGCATCAGCCCCTGCCTCCGGGTTCCTGCCCTGCTTAAGTTCCTATCCTGACTTCCTTCCTTCGATGATGGTCATGGCGTTGTGTTGCAGCAATAGAAAACCTAAATAAGACAGATATCTTAAGGGAGTTGTTGTGGAACATGGAGGAGATAGAGCTTTGCTGAAAGAAATGGGTGATTGAGGGCAGGCCAGTAAGCTTGATAGTCCAGCTGACCCACTTCCTGTCTGCTTGCTGTTTCCTTATTGGGATGCAGTATGAACAGCCCCATAGTGTTCCCATGGCTGTTCTCTGTCCACCGTGACGGACGACACCACTTTAAGCCCTCTGCCCTCAAATGGCTTTTGTCAGGTGTTTTCCTCACTTCAGATTAAAGCAACAAGAAAAACAGCTAATTCGGAGTCTCATTATAGTTGGCTGATAATAAATATTCCAAATTTGTTTCTATTTGGAGTCTTGTTTTGCTTCTGATCCTAATGGGAAAGGTTTTCAGTCTTACACCACCAAGAGGCACATTGGCTATGGATGTCCACAGCCATTCTTTTGGTAGAATATTTATTTTATCTTATTTCTAATTGCTTTACAATTATTTATTGTGTCTTGGGAATATATATATATTACATTATATATTATATATATTACACCATTACATTTACATATATGTATATATATGTACATGGATATACATATACATTATAATAGTAGATTGTAACATGTGTGTGTGTGTGTGTGTAATAGTATATATGTGGAAGCCAGTTTTCTCTTTCCACTTGTGGATCCCAGGAATTAAGCATCAGGCTTGGCAGAAAGTGCATTGGTCTGCTCAGCAATTTTACTGGCCCCAGACTAATCTTTAAAAGATAGATCTTATTTATTTATTTTTTTAGTGTTTATTCTCTTCCTTACATTTATCTAACTTTCTTAATGTCCTTGTTTTGTTATTGAGGGTTTTGTTGATTTTTAATTCTTGCTGCTTATTCTCTCCTTCCTTCAAAGCACCCACCTGCCTCTGCCCTTTAATTTGTTCCTTCTGTGCTTTCTCCACTCGCCAGATCTTATTCATGTACCCACTTCTGCATTTACACAAAACAACTTTTAATGTCATAGCACAATTTTCATTTATTGCTTACCATTTGAGTTTTATAGTTATTGGTAATGGGTTACCGGGATGTAATTGATTGTAAGTGTATTTTTATATATTGTTCAGGTTAATAGTGTTCTGTTACAGTAGTTTGATTTCTCCTCTCTGGTTGGTGCTGGGAGTTGAGTCCTTAAGAGGAGACTCCTTGATAAGAAAGTACTCAAAACCTGGAAATAACCAAGCTAACAATATGCAAATCATCACACAGGAAAACAAGAAACAAACAAACAAACAAACACAAGAAAACACAATTCCTCAAAAAGATCTTAACTCCTCCATTACTGAAGTGGGTAAAATGCCAGGTGAAGAATTACAAAAGTTACATGAAAATGGAAAACTAGCCAGTTATTCCAAAGAAGATACAAAGAAAAGAGAAAAGTGAAATAATGAAATCAGTTGAGGATCTAGAGAAGAGAGTTAGAAATGCATGAAAAAGCCATAACACAGATGAAGACATCACCACCATGGGTGAAGATGTCAGCACTGTGACCAAAAATTCAGAAAAAAAAAAAATAGAGATATGGGAAAATTAAATAAACAGGAAGATCGGAAGGCTCAATGAGCTAAATAAAACAGAACGGCAAACACTGCTAGTAGCTGAGACCAAGCAGCAGAAGGAGGGAAAGGTCAGGAAAGAGTACCCTCAAACACCAACGGAGAGCGTGGGCTGGAGAGCTGCTTAGCCTCTGAGACACTGGAGGCTCTTCCGGGTACTCCAGGCTTGGAGTACTTCCGGCACATCAGGCAGCTCACAACCACATGTAACTCTAGTCCCCAGGGATCTGATGCCTTCCCTCTGTCCTCCACAGGCACGTACATACATGCGGCACACACACCACAAATAACCGTGAAAATACTAAAATAGATAGGATTTTAAAGAAGAAAGTAACGGGCATGGCCGCCACCCTCAGGACCTCTTGGATACGAGGGCGTGGCCAAACACAAGAGTCCATGAGGTAGAAGAAACTGCAGCCGCTACAGTAAACAGGAAGGGATCGGTTCTCCTGGGGACATATCCGCAGGCACGAAGGCACACAGGTTTATTGCAGCAGTACTCACAACAGGCTAGAAGCCTGTCAACAGACGACCGGATAACGACACGAGGTCTGTATATTCTACGGAGCGTTCACCCGTAAAGAACCAAATCACATCAAATGTACAAATTTTGATGTAACTGAAGTTTTCGCCTTGAGTGAACTGAGCTAGACTTGGGGGGAAAAAAAGCATTACATGTCTCCTCTCATATGTGGAATCACTGAAAATCGATGGACCAGTAAGTAATGGAAGGAGAGCAGAGGGACGGAAGGACGAAGGGCAGGAGGGGACGTGTGTGTTCAGAGCATAGCGCGTGCATGTCTGGGCTCATCCCAGTGAAATACGCAGCTTCCCTGCAATACACACAACTGAGTAATTATCATAAAAACAAAAATGTAAATAAGCAAAACTGTGTCGCGAACACACTGCTTTTAGTTGTTTTACACCAAAACTTCCAAGTTGAAATGTTTTCTCCCAAAAGAAATGCAGTTTCACTGTGTCACCACGAATAAGCTGCATTAATGAACTATTTGACACTGACAGTAAGTGCGAAAATAATTAATTTTTTTCCATGCATGAAGTTAACTGGACCCCTTGGGATTCGCCTAAAACTTTGCTGTGTTTAATGGGTTTTTACAAAACTCAGTGAAGTCTCCAGTCCGGATTTATGTCTAGACACCAGCTTTATTTTCTTTCATCTTGGGAAAATCCTGCAAACACGAAGTTGAGTGTGTAAATGAACAAGGAGAACGTGGATAACTATGGTGATAAAATCATGAGAGCTCGGGGATGGAGACTGGTGTGTCTGTGTTAACAGCTGAGCAGCACACGGTGCAGAGAGGAGGTCCTGGCTGTGTTACAGTGCCCGTGCTTTTATGCTGGCAAATGGTTGGGCTCCTGATGCTGCCTCCTTTACAGCTGGAGCCAAGGAACCGGTCTTTCTCAGAAAAAAAAAAAAAAATCCATTTATAATTCACCAATACCCAACACAGGCTGAAGGGTTTCCCAGTATCAGAAGGCTGGGCAGGTATGTCAACTGCCTCTGTCTGCCAAACTCATTTCCTCCCTCATTCAGAGGGTGTTCCTCTCTCTCTCTCTCTCTCTCTCTCTCTCTCTCTCTCTTTCTCTCTCGTTATTGCTATGTGTTATACAGTCTACTCACTGAATGATATACTGATAAAAACTGTTCAAAAAGAAAAAAAGAATCATTGAGGAGAGAGTAGGTTTTGAAAAAAAATCTAGAAAAGCATTCTGTGTGGAATTAATCAAGGAAGTGGGTGAACAGAGAAACTCGACAGGACAAAGAAGAGACGCTGCCAGTGTGAGTTAGCAGAGGAGGAGTGTGCTGAGGCTGGAAGGATGAAACTGAGTGAAGACTGGGTTCTGCACCACATGACTGACAGACCTCTAGGTGGAAAATATCCTCGAAGCATCATTTTGCTTTGTTTATCGTTGTGTTGCTATGCCAACAAAAGCTAGTACCTGCATCTGCGTTGTGTGATGCTCTACGCATTATTGAGCCTAGACCTGCCATTTCAGCACATTCAAAACTTTAATTCAGAATTTCTTAAAGAAGTGCAGGCTTCTAGTGTGTATTTGGGAGGCATGATCCTGTAAAGACTGTTTCACATCGTGTTTACTAACATAAAAAAATATTGGTATTGAGATTCTGAAAGGCAAATGCCACATGCTTTCTTTCATATGCATACCTTTGATCTAAATTTCTATGTAATATATGGATGTAGTTATGAAACCAGAGAGGGGACCACGGAATGCAGCAGGGGATCTTCAAGCAGCGAGAGCAAAAGAGAGGGTAATGGAATGCATGTGATACGGGCAAAAGGAGAACTCTTGGGGAGAAGGAAGACCAGTGAGGATACAGGGAGTGAGGGGGTGGGGAGTGAGCAAGGGAGATGAATAAAAGTGTGTGTGAAAATCCCTGGTGAAGCACGTTGCACTCCATGCAGACTTAAAAATAGTAAGAAAATCCCGGCTTTGAAACAATTCTGCTCTCTGGGACCCTGACTAGAAATCTGGGTGCCAGAAGTCAAGGTGAGTTAGTTGTGTTGTTTTTGCTAATAATTGCTTAGGCAATCTAAATACTGCCTGTCCCATCCCACCTGGAGAGACCAATAGTCTTATTTTCTGTAGGGCCTGGGAATGTTAAGCTCTTTGTTTGGCTAAACGAACTCTGTAAAATCAGTTACCGGCCTTGTTGAAGGAGAGTGGAATTATTTTCAATTTTCATGTTTTTACTCGTGATGTCAGTCAGACAAGTCATCCTACCTCACTGGAGTGACAGCTCATGTTTAAGAGACAGATAATGAAAACACACAGTTCACAAAACACAGAGGAGGGCTCTGTAGACTGGATGACATGATGTAATGACACTCATGGTTAGGAGTGTGATGAGGTAAATTTGTGTCTGAACAGGTCTCTTGGAGAGACCATCATTTAAAATTAGGATACGTGTTACCATCCGCATTAAAGCAATGTGAAGGGGCCTGATCTGACCTAAGAGTGTTCATGTGGGGTTTTTTGATGTCTTCTCATTTGGACAGGCATGGCTCGGTAGCAGCCATGAGACCCCAGAATTCCAGCATCATCTTTGAGCTGATCCTTGTCGGGTTTTCTGATCACCCCCAGACTGAGGTTCCACTCTTCCTGGTCTTCTCTCTGATCTACCTAGCAAACTGTTTTGGGAACACAGCTGTCATCACATTAGTGGCTCTAGACTCCTCTCTGCACACACCCATGTATTTCTTTCTCTGCCACCTGGCTTTCCTCAATGGATTCTTCAGCACAACTGTGGCTCCAAAGATGCTCTTCAATTTTCTTGCAAGCAGGAAGGTCATCTCTTACCCATTCTGCCTGGCTCAGACCTACCTCACCCTGTTCTTGGAGTCGACCGAGTGCTTTCTCCTTGCAGTGATGGCCGTAGACCGCTACGTGGCCATCTGCTATCCACTGAGGTATCTTCTCATCATGAGCTGGACTGTCTGTATAGTTCTGGCAGTGGCGGTCTGGGTCACAGGCTTTTGCGCCTCGGTTGTACCTCTCTACTTCACAATGCTCCCACTCTGCGGCCCTTACATCGTTGATTATCTCTTCTGTGAACTGCCCATCCTTCTGCACCTCTTCTGTGCAGACACGTCTCTGCAGGAGGCCATGATGGCCATTGGAGGGGCTGGCACAGTGCTATTCCCCTTCCTCCTGATTGTTCTCTCCTACCTGCGCATCCTGGTGGCTGTGGTAAGAATAGACTCAGTTGAGGGCAGAAAAAAGGCCTTTTCAACGTGTGCTTCACACTTGGCCGTGGTGACCATCTATTATGGAACGGGGCTGATCAGGTACTTGAGGCCCAAGTCCCTTTACTCCGCTGAGGGAGACAAACTGATCTCTGTGTTCTACGCGGTCATTGGCCCCGCACTGAACCCGTTCATCTACAGCCTTCGGAACAAGGAAGTGCAGGGCTCCATGAGGAGAGTGATAGAGAGATACAAAAAAAAGCACAAGAATTGTGTTCTAGAATCTTCAGGAGCTAAGCACTGTGTTCATTTGCCCAAATTCTAACAGGTTCATGCCCAAATTCTGTGACACTAAACCTCATCGGTAGCAATTTCAACTTATCAGAACCACATTTTGATAAACTCCCCTGACCCCCCTGACATAGATATTTTTATTTCATATTTGCCATCTTTATGAGTAAATACTGATGTGCTTTGAGTCAACATGTCACCTGCCAGCTCAATCAAATTTGGATAATAAATCCAAGAATATACATGAACGCATAAACCTCATGTCAATGTTGTCACTGACTGCATTCTCTATTTTACGGCTCTCTCTTTCTCTCTCAATCATTTTGGTTTTGTGAGACACTGACTCACTCTGTAGCTCAGGTTGGCCTCGGCTTCCCGAGGGCTGGGATTGCTGGCGTGTGCCTCCACACTTGGGGTTGGCTCAGCTTTCTATCCATTCGGAAGACCTCATGTTGTGACAAGTGCTTGGTCCCTGGTTCCTAATCAGCCCTACCTTGTTGAGGAACTCAACCTAAAGGTAGACCTCAGCTCATCCAGAATTAAAGGCAAAGAAACTCATGCAACATGTGTCTCACTCCATGTTATATGATGAAAGCATGTTAAAGTTATTAATGAGAATTGTCTATGGTGCTGAAAGTAGAACCCGAGATACTGTGTCTGCTGAGCAAAGCACTGAGTACTTCATCCTAAGTGCCAATGAGTACATTTAAAGGAGCACAGCCTTCTGTTCTCGGGGGTTTTGTTAATTAATTTATTACTTATTGAAATGTTGGTTTCGAATTATTTTGGGAATTAGTTTGTTTTCCTAAAAATTTAAAATAGAAAGACACACTGCTCTTCCAAACATCTAAGTTTGGTTCCCAGCACGACACCAGGTAGCTCACAATAGTCTGTGAGTCTAGCTTCACGGGAACTAATGCCCTCTCCCTTTTGAAATTGTATTCACAAGTGCACACCACATCCAGACAAACACACACACACACATTCAAAATATATGTATGTATGTATGTATGTATGTATGTATGTATGTATGTATGTACATTCTTTTTAATTTCTTTAATTTCACCTCATATAGGTGATAGCTCACAACAAGTAACAGTAATTTTTATTAATTCACTTACATATGCTTAAATTAACAAGTTCATGTTTTAAAAGGCCATGTGCGGGTTATTGTAATATTGCTAATTTTGGAGACATGGTGTACATATGATTCCAGGTTCGGCCATTTTTTGTGCAAAGACTTTTCTCAGGAAAGCTGATGTACGCGAAGCATTTTGTTGTAAAGATAAGCACGCGTCATCTTCATCCCCTTTCTACTGCCTTACTGATTGCTGATGGCCGTTGAGGCTTCCACACTAGTGAATGTTCCCTCTTACAAGCTGGAAGTGCGTGCATAATAGATCTTATCACACGGTGGTTAACTATAAAGCCTGAGGAAATGGGTATCTCCAGTGAGACTACTGAGTGTCTGCACCAGTAATTAACTGACAGGGCCTCCCATCCTGATGGACTTTGATTTTCTGTGAAGAGATCAAGGGCTAAGATATCCATGAATCTTAACTTGTTTTTATGTTAGAGTATTTGTTATATACTCTAGACAGAAGACTAAAGACAAAAGGCAATAGTGGAGTGAGGTAGAGGCACTTCCCAGAACCTGGAGACAGACCGAGGTGGACCTCTGTGAGTTCAAGGATGGCCTAGTCTACATAGGGAATGCCATGCCAACCAGAGCTGTGTAATAAGACCATGTTTCAAAAGAATATATATATGTGTGTGTGTGTGTGTGTGTGTGTATCCGCCTATATATATTTATGTTCATCCTTTTAAAATTCCAATAGTAATTGCTATTATTAACTCTCATATCACACAGACCATAGTGCACAGTAAATATATGTAAAGCTACATGCATATCTATGGGTTACAGAATGAATACAACGTAGAGAGGCTGAGCGTTCATGGGATTTCAGAAGCGGGCATGGAGTCTGTATCAATAAAATAATGAACCAGACCAGCGCTGGGAGGGGGCTTGCTGGAGCGGCTGGAGTCAGGTTTGAGGGAGGAGCTGCAGAGCTCAGCTTGAGGCCAAACACCAAACCTGGCCACTGCAGGAAACATGTCAGGAGCAGGGAACAGAGGGTCAGGTCCAGGTCCAGATGGGCAAACAGGAGGATTGGCAGGCAGTCCAAGCAGGCCTCATCAACAGCAGGGGGCTGAATCAATGGAGGCTTCTGGGACATCGGTGGAGTTGCCTGATCCCTGTCGCACTCACCAGATGATAGGTTGGTATCGTCTGGTGTGTTTGATAACTCCTTCGGCCTAAGATTCCGATATGATTGTAATATATCCATGTGTTCCCACACCCCCATTTCTCTCCAATGAACTTACAGAATGGCTCCCTTTCTAACCCTAGGAATACATCAGTCACCAGTCTGTGCTGGATGGATGAGGCCTGACAGATGGTGACATCTCTGGGCCCACTCAGAGGCTGCAGCCATCTTTCTACCTCACAGTGGAATCAAAAGCTACATGTAAAATGGAGTCTCCTAGGACAATGCACACTGGAAAGACCCCTGTTTCATACAACGTGAAGCAATTTAAAGTAGGGCACGACTGGAGCCCAACACACATGATTCTAATGGAGTTAAACATTTAGCTGCTACTAAATAAAAACCCCAAGAGCACAGATTCTTTTGCTTTCCAGTGGTTCTTGCGACCTGTTAGTTTTCTAACAGTGCGGGAAAAAAAAAAATCATATATCCAATTCAAATCCTTTTTTTTTTTTTTAAGGTTTATTTACTTTTTTATTTCATGTGTGTGAGTGTTTTACCTGCATGTCTGTGTGCTCCATGTGCATGCCTGGTGCCCGCAGAAGCAAAAAGAGGGCATGGACTGGGACTGGAGTTACAGCTGATTGTGAGCCACGGTGGGAGTGCTGATGATTGAACCCAGCTCCTCTGAAGGAGCAGCCAGTGCTCCTAACCATGGAGCTGTCTCTTCAGGTCCTAAGTCAATTCAAATTCTTCTTTTGTTTTTATTATAATTTATTCACTTTGTATCCCAACTTTAACCCCTTTCCTTGTCCCTTCCCAGTCCCACCCACCATCCCTTTTCTCCTCTTATGTCCCTCTCCCAGTCCACTGATAAGGGAGGTCCTCCTCCCCTTCCATCTGACCCTAGCTTATCAGGTCTCATTAGGACTGGCTGTATTGTCTTCCTCTGTGGCCTGGTAAGGCTGCCCCTAGGGAACCTACTTGGACACTGAGCTGCTATGAGCCACATGTGTGCAGGGGTTCTAGGTTATCTCCATGCATGGTCCTTGGTTGGAGTATCAGTCTCAGAAGAGACTCCTGGGCCCAGATTTTTTGATTCTGTTGCTCTCCTTGTGGAGCTCCTGTCCAGGTCTTTCTATCTCCACCTTCTTTCATAATATTCCTACACTCTGCCCAAAGTTTGGCTATGGGTCTCAGCATCTGCTTTGATACCCTCCAGGGTACAGTCTTTCAGGGGCCTTTTGTGGTAGCCTCCTGTCCTGTTCCCTGTTTTCTCCCTCTTCCGATGTCTATCCCTTTTGCCTTTCTGAATGAGGATTGAGCATCTTACCCAGGGTCCCCCTTCTTGCTTAGCTTCTTTAGGTGTACAGATTTTAGTATGATTATCCTATATTATATGTCTAATATCCACTTATGAGTGAGTATATACCATTCGTGTCTTTCTGTTTCTGGAAGACCTCACTCACGACGATCTTTTCTAGTTCCCGACCTCCCCCCCCCCCATAATTCAACTTCTTATACTAATTGTTAATGTACTTTGGGAAGCTACTGTAAGGTACATCGTTCTATAAAAAATAGCCCATTTTCACTTTTGTTTAGACCAAATAGTGTATCTCATCAGAAATAAGTTTTGGATTTAGTTAATGATGAAACATAGATACAAATTCTTAATCAGCTTAACAGGTAGGTCTGTAATGGAAAACAGGGTCTAGAATAGAGAAGGAGGAGAGTGCTGATTAGGGGAGGCAGCACACAGAGCAAACTCAGTCTCCTGAGGATTAATTAGAAGAAAGTTTTTGCCCAAGTAATGATTCCATGGTCTTCCCAGAAATCTTAATGGGATTACACAAGAAATATCATTTTTTTAAAGACTTATTTTTATTGTTTTTTTCTAGAGAGCAAGAAAGAGAGGTGCTGTAGCATTCATGTTGAGGTCAGAGGGCAACTTGCAAGAGTCAGTCCTCTCCTTCTGCCATGTGGGTCCTGGGAATCAAATTTAAGTTGTCAGATTTGATAGCAAATGCTTTTACCCACTGAACCATCTTTCCAGTCTGGGCCAATCTCTTAGAGGATACCAGCTCTTAAAATAGCTGGTCTAACTAGTTGACACAAATGAACAATTAAATTAATTTATTTAATATAAACATTATTTATTAATAATTAGACTAAATTAGAATGCCTAGTAACTTGTTTTTCTCTAATTTCCTAGAATGCAGATGAATGGTGGTTCTGTGTGTGTGTGTGTATGTGTGTGTAGATTATAAGGTGATCATCAGTTCTTTGAAGCAGATTCAGTCAAATAAAATTTAATGTTACTAAATATTGGGAAGTAACAGAACTTTGGTCCCTCAGCTTTGTGTCCCCTCCTGGGCTCTTAGTTTCATTAATCAAAGAATTTAAAAAAGGACTCAAATGGAAGCTAGAGGAGAATCTTATTAGAGTTTAAAAGAAAACTCTGCACACATGTGGCAGCTTGGTCTTCATATGGGATACCTGGCGAGTGGAGTGGTGGGGAGCCTGTTTCTAACATGGACTCTATTGCCTGCTTTTGGATCACTCCCCACTGGCAGAGCTGCTTTGCCTGGCCTCAGGGGATGAGGATATGCTCAGTCCTGATGTGACTTGATGTGCTGGGGAAGGTTGATATGGGGGAAGAGGGACTCCCCTTTTCTGGGGGGAGAGGGAGAAGGGAAATGGGAAGAGAGGAATGGGGGGAGACTATATGGAGAAGAGGGATGGGGCACCCTAGGGATGTAAAGTAAAT